ATTTTAAGCAATTTGTGACTTAAGTACCGTTTCCAGCTGCATTGTTCAAAAGAACAAATTCGTCACTTCTGGAGAAACTGCCGTAGAAATGGAAATGCCAGTGATCGGTGGCAGATGCTTTATGTCTGGGATCGAGCATGTCAGACAGATCTGGGAGGTAACAATTAGTGGTCAACCGATATATCGGCCGATATTTGGCATTTTTCAAATATCGGCATCGGCCGACAAGTTTTTCTGTTTGGCCGATGTGTTCGAGGCAGGACTTTTATTTTGACGGTGCTGTTAAACGGCAGCGCCTGAGCGCACACCGCTCACATTCTCCCTCTTGTTCGCTGTCGTTCTGTCTATCTAAGTCTATCTAATAATCAGATAGAACTGTTAAACAAAGGAATTAAAATGTATACAAAAATGTATTACAACGATTGCTTTAATATTATTAGTAATAGAAAGGCAAACATTATAATACTTTCTCATTTGCCGTCAGCATTCAGCAAATACGCATTTATATCATTTAAACAAATCTTTGAATGACTAATGAACATTTAATTTCACAAACCTTGCAAACTTAGTCGAATCCAGCTGTGAGATCTTGTGAAGTGTGCATTTGTATCCTGCATGATCGCGTGTTCTCTGCGTGACTGTCTGTTTTGCAAAGACTGCTGTCCCACTATTTGAATTAAGAGCCTTTTTGCTGAATGCTGGTGTATTGTGGTATCACCCATTTCCAATTGATCTGGCCTAAAACATCATCCATAAAGAATGAAATGTGGTTATTCATTTTACATGAAGGTCAAACGAGCCCTTCCTGTTTAAGTGGGCGGTTCACGGTCGGAATAAGCCACAAAGCGAATGAGACTTTGCCGATAGTCAAACATCTGGCTCTTTGAGACTATAATGACTAGATCATAGATCAGGTCTGCTTTGTATTTAGTGAATAGTTGGTCAGAGCCGCTTCTGAGATGACTGGCACTGTTAAAGGGTCAGAGGGTTTGTGCTGTTTTTAAAGCAGTATGTATGTATACACACACACACACACTTCTGTGTGACTGCATCGGCCTTTCCCGAGACAGGTTGATGTGTTCCAGCTCCAAATCGGGTCACTGATCCTCCGCATACACACACAGGATTGTTTTGACTGCTGGCTCCGTGTCCTCATTCACCATGCTGACGGAATGTTCTGACTAATGATTACCAAAACCTGCCATTCCTGTCCAGTCCACGGGTTCTATTTTAGCATCAGCTGCCGAATAAATTCATGTTTTTGACATTAGCTACATTTCCATCCAAGCTGAGAATTTAATTTATGCTGGAAAATTTGGAACATTGCATTTTAAGCAATTTGTGACTTAAGTACCGTTTCCAGCTGCATTGTTCAAAAGAACAAATTCGTCACTTCTGGAGAAACTGCCGTAGAAATGGAAATGCCAGTGATCGGTGGCAGATGCTTTATGTCTGGGATCGAGCATGTCAGACAGATCTGGGAGGTAACAATTAGTGGTCAACCGATATATCGGCCGATATTTGGCATTTTTCAAATATCGGCATCGGCCGACAAGTTTTTCTGTTTGGCCGATGTGTTCGAGGCAGGACTTTTATTTTGACGGTGCTGTTAAACGGCAGCGCCTGAGCGCACACCGCTCACATTCTCCCTCTTGTTCGCTGTCGTTCTGTCTATCTAAGTCTATCTAATAATCAGATAGAACTGTTAAATAAAGGAATTAAAATGTATACAAAAATGTATTACAACGATTGCTTTAATATTATTAGTAATAGAAAGGCAAACACAATAGTCAATCATTTCAGCTTATTCAGTCACCTGACTTGAGGCAAAGTCACATGATTTGTGTTTCCATCATAGTTTATTCACAAATAAAAAAAAATGATCCACCTAAAGCAACGCTGTAAGAAAAGAATTTATACAAAAATGTAGAAAACTGCTATTCTTTTCCCAAATCTTTATACATTTAGTGTACAGAATTTTCTAACCCTTGCTAACCCTAAAACAGGGCATAATTTAAAATATGGGTAAAGCCCTGTACAATGGGCCATATTATTTTGAACTTTTCTTAGAGTGAAGCTTTTTATATTTTATGCACATCTTGGTGTTTCCATCCAGAATTTTTTATTTTGTATATTTTTTGTATATTTGTCTTTTATTTTTTTATTTTTTATTTTTTTTACTTTTTATTATGCTGGCCGGAAACACCAAAATTAAAAATTAAAAAGCATAAATAATAATTTCTATTTCAAATAAATGTTGTTCTTTTAAACTTTGTTCATGAAAGAATCCAGAAAAACATGGATTGTGGTTGCCACAAAATATTAAGTAACTGTTTTCAACATTTGTAATAAGAAATGTTTCTTGAGTAGCAAATCAGCATATTAGAATGATTTCTGAAGGATCATGTGACACTGAAGTCCGGAGTAATGATGCTGAAAATTCAGCTTTGCATCACAAGAATAAATGATATTTTAAAGTATATTAAAATAGAAAACTTGTTCTCTTTTGAGCAGTTTTAGCTGCTTCTATGTAGTTTTCTCCATGGAGCAGTGGCCATCTTGGTGCCACACATCTGCGCTGTTCCCATGAGAGGCCAGGAAGAGCTCAGGAAATAACACCCATCCTCAATGAATGGCCCATTCCAAACACACTATCTCTGGCTGGTAAAAGAAAGGCCCGCTTGAGGGTATGAATGTGTTTGAGGGATGCTGTTACAGAAAGCTACGAGGTTATAGGCAGAAATAAGAGCAGATGATCCTCTGCTGTGGTCAAATAAGGAATGGATGGATCTGTGGCGTTGGAGGCGAGTGTGAGGTCAGTAGGTGGAGGAATAGAGAAGGCCGAGCGTGGGAATAGAACAATTCTTTGGCAGGGTCCATATATTTCTCTCTCCCAACCCTTGTGGAGTGTCTGTGATTGCTCTCGAGAGCCTTTGCCCTGTGCGCAATGTTTTCCCTGACATTTCTGAGATGTTTGGACCACATGAAAATACTTGTCAGCTGGATACATCCGTCGCCTGATTGTGTCCGAATGAGCTCGGCATGTTGTGAGAGCAAATTAGCTGCAACATTAACTGCATATCAATTTAATTTCCCATACTGCTTCCTTTACAGTCTTTATGAATCCAATAAAACGTGTTGCTCTCTGTGTAGCTCTCACCGCACGAGCTATAAAATAATTAATGCTACATGGCTGAAAGATGTGGTTCATATGGAAAACATGTTCGCCTGATGTCTTGGTTTACATCCCATATCGCTACAGGTACCAAAGGCATGCCAGAATGTTACAGCAATGCCCTCAAAACATCTTTACTGTAGAGACCCTACCGAATGTTATTGCAGCAGGAAGTCAGTAAGTTTGTTTTCTGATTTATTTTTGTGGTTATGGAACCAGGGAAGCCTCATACAGTCAGTGCAAGATAGGCGGTGTTCCCTGGATGGATATCAGAGAGTCCGGACTCAATGGGCTGGAATGTTAAAGTGGATTTGAAGGCATTCTCTGCTGTTTTGAATGCTCCCTCTGGATTTTATTCATTTTTAAATTGAGAGATCACTTTTTTCTTAATCTGTTGAAATAAAAGTTTGATGTGTAGTAAAAACACACTCTAACCTTGGTCTAAAACATACTCCAAGCTTGGTCTAAAACCTGGTCCAAAAAGACTTTTTTAGTTCGTCTAGAAATCCTTGAATTTCCCATGTCAGAAAGCAGCAAACCACAATTATTCTATTCATATGATGCCATTGAAGGTTTTTTTATTTGGAAAATGATGATGAAAAACTGTTTTACGTTGACCTCAGAGGAACAAATTGAATATTTTGATATGGTTTATACTTCAGTGTAAATGCACTTGAGTTTGGCTGATTGGTTTGATAACACAAGGACAAAAGGAGAGAGGACAAGAACAAGAAAGACGGAAAGAACAACAGAATCAGCAGGAATCCGGCTCTCTATATGATTTCACTCTCCCTAAGGTTTTCCATGGGCGTTAGCAGAGCTGAACACATTCCTGATCACAGCACAAGCTGAGGAAGGGCTTTTTGTCGAGATTAAGTCTTTCACTCTAAAATCAAAAGGGAAAAGAGAGTATATTTTGCTTAAAGAAAAAAATCAATTTTTTTGCATTGTGACTTTGACAAATACAGAGTTCTGGCATGAAACTCTAGATGGCGCAGTCCGATAGGTCTAACTCAATCTGACCTAATGACATCATTATCACATGGCACAGCTGATTGGTTCTCTCTTGTATGGGTAGCCAATGAGCTCGCTGCTCAACATTCAAATATATGATTAGTGCTTGTAGTAGCAGTTGGAGCTTGCTTCAGACACCCTTCACCTTCCCCAGCTCCACCTGTATAGATTTGCTATGAGGTGATTCATGTATACTATATGGGGTTATTTCATATATGTTATATTTGTAGCAGCAATATTTCTTACATGCTCACAGCAGCATGTTGTGGATGTATTGGCAGTAGCAAGTCTCGGTACTTGCTCTGCCACAGCAGCAGCAGCAGCAGCGTAGCAGATCTATTCCGCCAAGACCAAATACATTAACATTGTTATGTACATTGCCATGCCAATCCCTCCGAGAGTTGTCATGACAGAACTGATTTTATGTTGAAATATGATCTGAACATGTTCTTGATAGACATAATATTCTATTTATTCTATATCTATCTCTATCTGTCTGTCTGTCTGTCTATCTATATATATATATATATATTCACTATATATACAATAGACTACTTTAGGTTACACGAAAGTCCCCCTGGCTGTCGTGTGGGCTGAACGCCACACTGCTGTCTGAATCCTATTATCAGCTGCCAAAGCTGACACACACACACACACATACACACAGCTGACAGCCAGTGAAAGTTCATCCTCAACAGCAACAACAGCAGCAGTTGCAACTGTGACTGTGTGTGCCAAGGTGACATGAGGCCTAACTCTTAACATCTCTTACCAGCGTAACATCTAACTCTGTGTGTAACTCTGTGTGTAGGATGGCGTATCGCCGGAATGAGGAGGATGAGGAGGAGGCCGCTCGTGAGCGCAGACGAAGAGAGCGGCAGGAGAGACTGCGCGGTAAGGACAGCGAGGATGTGGCCTACCAACCCGAGACCCCGGAGCTCAACAACAGCCACAGGTAAAACATACTTTTGGAGTATTATGTGACAGGAATACCGTGGTACTTTGATATGTAGACTAACTGATGTTTTCTCTGTAACCCACAGCTTTAGTGGGCAGCACTGATAAATAACTTCCTGTAACAGGTCAGCATTGCGGAAACAGTGACATGTTCAGACACTGAGGCTTTGTGCAGTGAATGGACACAGAAGACGGTCAAACAAGACCAGAATTGTTCTCGATGTGTGAGCAGACATAGCTCCGTCTATTGTCCGTAGTGCTGACGCAGGGTAAAAGTTTGCCAAGCAGTGCCGTCAGACTACATTAACCTACAGTGGCAGGCATATGGCAGTCCATGCTGCTCATGCAGCCGTAGAGAAAGGAAAAAGGAGTGCAGATCCACTTTAAATCATAATTCCTCGCTATCATTTTGCATGTTCAGGTTTGCTGACACTTTGGATAAGAGAGGAATTTACGTTCTTTAGAGTTGTAATGTTGTGTAATGGCCAAATATTAATTAATTATTTGGCGCTGGTGTTAATGTTGTAGCTACTTCAGTTTGGTTATTATATGCAATTTATACACTACTGCTCAAAAATGTTTAGGTTTGTAAGATTTTTAAAGTTTTCTTATGCTCACCAAGGCTGCATTTATTTGATCAAAAATACAGTAAAAACAGTAATATTGTGAAATATTATTATGATTTAAAATAACTGTTTTATGTTTGAATATATTGTGAAATGTAATTTATTCCTGTGATGCAAAGCTGAATTTTCAGCATCATTACTCCAGTCTTCAGTGTCACATGATCCTTCAGAAATCATTCAAATATGCTGATTTGCTGCTCAAGAAACATTTCTTAATATTATCAATGTTGAAAAGAAGCTGGGCTGCTAAATATTTTGTGGGATCTGTGATTTTTATAGGATTATTTGATGATTAAACATTGCAAAAGAACAGCATTTGTTTGAAATGGAAATCTGTTGTATCAATTTACTTTTACTTTTGATCAATTTGATGCATCCTTGCTGAATAAAAGTATACATTTCCAACCCAAATTTTTGAATGATAGTGCATGTTTACATGTTAAGTAAGAAATATTTATACATTATTTAAACATTTAAATAATAGTGTGGCCTGCTACAGTGAAACAGATGGTTTTTTGTCATTTTGCACTATTTAAAATGTTGACAATGTTAAATAGTTTTTCTTCTTCAAAATTACTAAACTTAATAAACATAACAAAATGTTGACTAAATATATAAAACAATTTTCATCAAAAGATAAACTATTACAAAAAAAAATACGGTTACACACTTTATTTTAAGGTGTCCTTGTTACAGTGTCATTATACACATAAGGACTGAGTTATATTAATTAACTACATGTACTTATTATATGGTTAGGGTTAGGATTTGGGTTTGGCATAGGGTTACTCACATGTAATTACGCATAATTAATTGTTATTATAATAGTAAGTACATGTAACATGTGTAACAAGGACACCTTAAAATAAAGATAAATAAATAAAAACGTTACCAAAAATACTGTATAAAATGAATAATACAAGGCCAACATTTTGAGATTATAGCATTAGCATAAGATTAATTTCAACCATTTGAGCATAATCGTATATATTTAGTCAGATGTGTCCAAATGGTGTTTTTTTATATATTTAGGCATTATATTAGTCACCATTTCTCTAGATATTATCATTGGCCAGCTAAAATCAATCGAGCACTAGTCATATATGCGGAGATATAATTTGTGATGTTATATATTTTGTCATCTTATCTTCTTATGCTTCTTCTTTGTAGTGTTACGGTGACAGAGAGTGTATCCACCTCAGTGGTGTCCTCCAGCGGGACGGGAGAGGGGGATGATGAAGAACAAGCCCTGCTGGAGCGCCTGGCCAAGAGAGAGGAGCGCAGGCAGAGGAGGATGAAGGAGGCGCTGGACAGACAGGAGGAGCTAGAGAGCAGCCAAACCTCACACCACAGCCTGGAGGAGAGCAGCGGCCTGCACCACGGCCGGAGCTACGAGCCTGAGGAGGAGGTGAAACAGGTGGAGGAGGAGGAGGAGCTCATCCCTAGAGAGGAGGTGGTGGTGGAGGAAAAGCCACGGAGGTCTTATTTTAGAGAACAGGTGTTGTATTTCTATTTTTTATGCTTTTGTTAGACCTCAAGAACTTGCGTTCAAGGTTTGTTTATGGCATTTAACTTTATTCACCTGTAGGAATCCGCTGAGGAAATATCTAAAATACCTGAGGAGGTATGGTGATGATGGGTGTTTTTTATTTTAAAATAGCATTTTTTTCTCTCGTTTAACACAACAAAGCATGTGACTGCAGTTCATTTCATAGGACAATAATGAGCGAGATGCTGTGCCTTCTTCTGAACTACATGAGGTGGTTATAAATGAAGACGTAGATGATTCTGCATTTGTTTCGGAGACGGAAAATGGCACCGCAGAGCTCACTGCAGGTGTATGGGAGGAAAAGAGTGAGATAGAGGGATTGACAGAGAATGGAGTGGATGAAATGAGAGAGGCAGAAAACTTTGAGAAATGTGAGGTTTCAGAAAATGACGAGTCTTTGGTAAGAGTTTAGTTGCGCTTGAAGGACTGCAAAAGGATGGATGGTTTAGATTTTGGGTGAGAAATTAACAGAAATGATCATTTGCAAAGACCTCATGAAATGCAAAGTTGCTTTTTTTGACATTTAAGCCATGTGCTTGTACTTTAAAGCATAGTGCACTTGACGAAGTAAACTTTTATATGCATTTAAATTAGTTTTTTGCTGCCTTTCAGTCAAAATCAAACGTCATTGGTAGATTTTATTTGCTTAAAAGTGAGTTTTTTCATTGACTGTGTACATCTGAGTGCCCACCATGTTCTCGTGGCATCACAGGAACGCTAAGGTCAGGTTCAAAGATTTCCGCCTTCCAAGTTTGATTTCCAAGTTGAAAGTCCAACTTCAAGCATTTTTTTGCGATGGGTAGTTGGGAACTTTCTGAGTTGAATGGAAAGCAGCATTTCTATTTGCAGACAATACTGATAATGTGATTTTGTTCTCACAGGCGTGGATATTTTTGGCCAATAAAAATAACACCTCATGCAACCTGCCTCCAGTTGCAAATAGCAAATCCTAAGCTTCAATTAAAGATTATTGGCTATTTGATTAAAAACGGCAAACCCTTCAACTTCCTGTTTCAGTTGGAAATATGCCAAACACAAAAAAAGAAAACTGAATTCGTCAAGCTATTTCATGGGGTCTTAAACAGATTTGGATACACAAGTTGATTCAAAACTTACTGTTTTCATTGGGGTTATAAACTTTTCCTCCCCAAAATCCTAAATCACTCGAGGCACTAGTTTGAGCACAGTGTATAATGTTTGCACCAGAGTACATTTCACATTCAAACAACGCAGGTTGTTATCAATGGTCAGCGGTTACACACAGTGTGTTCACTGCTTGCTGCATGTCTATTAGGAGTTGATGGGGAGTGTGTGTGTGAAAACACCCCAACACGTGTTCTTTTCATCATTTATCCAGCGAGCACACTGTCTCTCTCTCACACACACACACATGTGCATGTCACATCCACACATCACTCAGTTCTGATTGTGTTTCTGCAGATGGAAGATGAGGATGTGATGAGAAAGAATAAACAGCCCAATGGAGGAGTGTGCGAGGACAGCACTCCCAAACACAAGAGAGCTGAGAGGACTTTCAGGTCAGTGCTCATATAAACAATTAATGATTGTGTTAGGATGGACCAGGCTTTCTTTTTCCAAACAATTTAGAGTTCTCAGAATTCCACATTTGGCAGCCTGTGATCTGTAAATCACAGCATGAAAATGTCTAGGAAGTGTTTTATTTTTATTTTATTTTAGTTTAGTTTAGTTTAGTTTAGTATTTCCATATATTTATTTTTGTTGTAGCAGTTTGATCACATAAATCATATTAATATTTCTCCACATTTTCCTCATTTCTCCACATTTGTCTTCACATTAGCATCAGGTCTTTTCAGATAATAGCAAATTAATATTTAAAACATAATCACATTTACATAGTTCTCTGTCTAATATAGAAGCTATATTCCATGTTTTTCTTTATTTTTTGTTTTCCTCTTTTTTTTATTTTTTATAAAGAAATATACAGCGCTTTTTCCAAAATATACATGTATCCATATATTCTCACAAAACCCAATACCCATATATGCATATATATA